CTCTCTCTCTCTCTCTCTCTCTCTCTCTCTCTCTCTCTTTCTCTCTCTGTCTTTTTTTTCTTAGCTGACACTGAAGTGGTCCCTGCCCCTTGCCATCGTCATTCTCCCTCTCACATTCGTTTTTAACTCACTGGAAAAAATAAAAAAAAGTAGTAAAAGGGTAATACGTTCAAATCTCTCGTCTCGAGACTCACGTGAATGATATAATAACCGCCGTTTCCTTCGTTAAATCATATTCCCGGGAGTGATCGGATTAATAGAAGATAAGCTCCCCGCGAAGAAAAGGCGTTTTCTCTGTCTTGTACTGCCTCGAGTCATCTGGTGTACAGCAGGCTGTATTATAATAAATTATTGTGGTTTCTTGTAATATTAACATTCCTAGATCCTATAGCGTGTACAGTGATTCTAATCGTATTCGGGATTAGAGAGGGGATTGAGAGAGGAGTCAAGTAACCAATAATAAGTAAAAAAGAACGATGAAAAGAAAAACAGGAATAGGATCTCACTAGTTTCTTCTTCTCTTCGTCGTTGAATGATGCGAGATGAATATACATGTAAACGTGTAAAAATATGTTTATATGTGCATTTACCCTCGTGTGTATCTATATGAATTTTTAGAGGCTTTCTTATGATCGGGGTTTGACACACTTGCACCCTGGATATACTTATATTTGGCAGCGGAAAATTTATCGTCACCTTTCTCAAAGACGTTTAAAAATCTCTCTTCGTCTCTTCCCCGCCTCCCGTTCCCTTTCCCTCCCCTCCCTAGAGCACATTGTCTCGACGTAAATGAAAAAAAAAAATAGAATGGAAAAGAGGATAGCAAAAAGATACAGATTTTAACAATTGATGAGCAGAACGTGCGAAAAAAAAGGAACCTGTTTTTTAGTGGGAGTCAGAGGACGCGGATAACAAACGACTGTAAAATATCAAATTGTAATATTTTAATACTGATTTGCAGATGTGCATAATTTTAACGTATAGTTGGTTATAAAAGAGAACGAAAAAAAGTGAGCGGTTTGTAACTGATATTGAAATCGTGTGAGACGCGGTATCCGCGTTCGATGGAAAGAACGATCGGATGAATAAAGGGAGGGAAAAAAGGAAAAAAAAAAGAAGAAAAGATGGAACAAGCGGAAATATTTCGAAAAAGGATCATGACATGAATTTCCTGTGTTATACTGCTAGGGGAATTATGATAGTTACACGAGAAGAAATAATGTTTGTTTTGTATATCTCTTAGGGATAAATAAACTTTTCAAAAAATACGTGTCTCTCGACGATGGCTCTTCTCCCTTCTGGCGTTGACGACTCTGTTCTCCAAAGTTGTACAATCCAATTAATTCAATTAAGGAAATACATATATTTTCGTTATTCGTTTTTATATATGTTGCCGAAATTGAGAGTACATCAGAAATTATAAATATGTTCAATATATCGAGGATTCGAGAACCAGAGAAGAAAAATTCTTGTAAATCTGTATCCATAGAGATAATTCATAATAAATTAATTTCGTGCGACACATAAATGTCTGTTTAAATTGAAGTTAAACGATATACAAATTTGATAAATTTTTATACTTTTCCTCTGAGTATTTAAACGGATTCTCCACACAAATAACCATAATAACATTTTATAATTTTAATATAAATGGAGTTAGATCTCTCTGCAAAATTCGTTTCACATTCAGCGTAAAAAAAAAAAAAAAAACGTTAATCGCGGAGCTTTTATTGTGAAAAAATCTGTTTCGAATTAATGGGGACATTTGTGAAAGATATATATGTCTATATGTACAGAATTTTACACGATGTACTAATGTATTATTTGTTTAGCTAGGCAGTTTACAAGAATAATGCGATATAGCGATTCATGATATATTAACTGCAACGCTTGGTAATTTTTATTTATAGCTTCACACATTCAGTAAAATATTTTTTTCTCCGAAACATCTTACTTTCAACATACACAGCAGATAGAATTGCAAGAATAAGAAAATTAATCATGTCTTTTACAATTTTCTGTATAATCATAATGAAACAAGCGAATGATTCCTCGACGCCCACATAAGGTGTAAAAAATATTTTATGTGTGAAAAACGAGATGTACATCAATATTACGAGTGATTTTGTAATAAAGGTTATATAACATATATCATATAGAATATGTGTGGTAAAAAGAAAATGTAGTCAATAAATGCTGTCCAGTTCCTTGCACTCCGCAGCATTTTCCACGTTTAAAATGAAATGGATATATGAATTCAGGTGTCGGAGAAAAGAAGAGCGGAAGATCCGAGTGTAAAAGTGCAGAGACGCGACAAACGGCCCGCCGTGTAAATACGCCTTTCAGATATACAGTTTGTTTTGCGTTGCTTGAAATTTCAAAAATATTTATATTCAAAGCGAGATAAATAATATATCTAGGCATTTAACAGACAGAGAGCGCGAAGACAAACTGTTTTATGATTCTTCGCTGAGATAGGACTATATTCCTTTAGATCTAAAAGTATTAATCCAATCAACGAGACGAGAATCATAAAACGGTTGCAAAACTGTTGAGTCTGCTGAAAGAACGCAGTCAATGTGAACAGACTTACTTTCGCGCCGCTTCAAACCGTCAAATCGTTCGACAGCACAAAGGATCACACGTGATCGAAATTGACACTTGGTATTTGTCAATTTTGACCACGTGTCCTTTTTGTCGGCAAAATGGCCGATTTGAATGGCTCCATGAAAATATACTTTTAGCAAACGCGTTTCGCGCCACCTATCGACGCGACATTCAGTTACCGTCGCATCGAACGGATCACCGGGAGTTCGTTTCCCGTTTTAGATACACTGCAACTTTTTGTTTGCGTGCTCTTTTGACAGTTACAAGGGATATGTACATTTGAAAGTTCGACGCGATGGACTTAACGGCCGTGTGACCGAGTCGTAAAAGCGGTCGTCCGGCTTGTGCTCGGTGTTGACGCCTCTCGTTTTGACGCGCGTTCGTCACAACGTCGCGTGTTTTCGGTCGCTCGTTTTGGTCTTCTATTCGTCGACTTCGATGCCGTTACTCTACCACTAAGTAAGCACGACAACGAGGGATCGTCGCGGTGTCGAAACTCGGCGCCAAGAGTCAAACCCCTTTCTCGGCTGTTTCATCAGTGATTCGTCAGTGACGATACTCGCTGACCCACAGGTATCCTGAAGTATCTTTTAACCGTCTCTGTAACTCATTTGAAACATCTCGTTTATCAAAGTAACATCAAATTAATATAAAAAATCTACACACATTTTCTTGTTTTAATAAAGTATTGACAAATGAAATGTGTAAATACTCAATTTTACAATAAATATATTTGAAACTGTAATTACAATGCTTAACCCATTTTTCTCGCGAATAAATTAAACGCGC